GCGTAGTGACTAAACATTACAAGAAGACTAGCCGCGCAGTTCCAGGAATCGGGGGGGCGGGGCGCGGCGGCCGCGTATATACCCGCCGCGGCCCCGGGCGGCTCCGATTCGGGTCCCCGCGCCACCGCCGCCCGCCCGTCCGTACGCTCGCTCCACTGTTCCGCGCCAGTGCCGCGGCCCTCGCCTCGCCCCGCTGGCCGCCCGGGGCTGAGGGGCAGGCGAACGCCCACCCAGCCCGAGGGACGTGCGCGCCCGGCCCCTTTGTGGACTTCCCGGACGCCAACATCTGGGCGCCGTGCGGACACTGCTGGCCGCCGCTCGCCTGGAAGCTGTAAGAGCGGCAGCCGAGGCCGGAGACTTAAGTGTGGGACCAGGTAAGTCGGAGGGGCGCGGCGAGAGGGGTGGGGGGGGTGCGAGATCGTCCCGGGCGCTTTTCCCGGTTTCCCCTCCCCTTCCCGGGTCCTTCCCGGCAGGGAGGGGACGAGGCGCAGGGAACTGGGCGGATGGACGCTCGGGCGTCCAGGTTCCCGGAATGCTCCGACTGGGGCCGCGGTTTCTTTCGGCCACCCGCCCTACCCGGGATTTTGTTCTCGGTCCCCATCGCCAGGGACCGCCGGACTGAGCGGCGCCCAAGCGTCCCGGGGGCCCTTCTCCTACCCCCCACTCCGGCGGCACTCCCGGACAAACAGCCAACTTCCGCGCCCGAGTTTCCCATTCGGCGCTCTCCGGGTGCGCACTGAGGAAGGGGCGGCTCGGGACCCCCCGGCGCACGGGAAGGGGGAGCCGGGCGCAAGGAGAGTCCCAGCACTCCACTCACGACGTGCGTTTCCTCTCCGCAGCCCCCTGGGATGCGGTAGCGGCCGCTGTGCGGAGGCCGCCAAGCAGCTGCAGCCGCCACCGCCGCGCAGACCCACGCTGGCTCCGTGCGCCATGGTCACCCACAGCAAGTTTCCCGCCACCGGGATGAGCCGCCCCCTGGACACCAGCCTGCGCCTCAAGACCTTCAGCTCCAAGAGCGAGTACCAGCTGGTGGTGAACGCAGTACGCAAGCTCCAGGAGAGCGGTTTCTACTGGAGCGCCGTAACCGGCGGCGAAGCGAACCTTCTGCTGAGCACCGAGCCCGCCGGCACCTTCCTCATCCGCGATAGCTCGGACCAGCGCCACTTCTTCACGCTCAGCGTCAAGACCCAGTCGGGGACCAAGAACCTGCGCATTCAGTGCGAGGGCGGCAGCTTCTCGCTGCAGAGCGACCCCCGGAGCACGCAGCCCGTGCCTCGCTTCGATTGCGTGCTCAAGCTGGTACATCACTACATGCCGCCCCCGGGGGCGCCTTCTGCCCTCTCATCCCCGCCTGAGCCCTCCGCGCCCTCCTCCGAGAAGTCAGAGCAGCCGCCCCCCGGGGGCGCCTCCAGGAGAGCTTATTACATCTATTCTGGGGGTGAGAAGATCCCCCTGGTGTTGAGCCGGCCCTTGTCCTCCAACGTGGCCACTCTCCAGCATCTCTGTCGGAAGACGGTCAACGGCCACCTGGACTCGTATGAAAAGGTCACCCAGTTACCTGGGCCCATTCGGGAGTTCCTGGACCAGTATGACGCCCCCCTTTAAAGAGCCAAGGGCAAGGGTCGAGGAGGTGGGGGTCTGGCGTCCTCCTCTTCTTCTCGCACATGGCACGAGCACAAGAATCCAGCCTGGAGGGGCCCACCGCTCTGGAAGACCCGGGGTGGACCGGCCCCCCCCCCCCCCCGGCCCCGCCCCCGCCCCGCCCCGCCCCTGCCGATGGGGCCGCGGACCTGGAATGTGTTTGAAGGGTGCGGGAGCCCCACCTGAGTTCCCCTCCCCCACTCCAACTTCTCCGGTGGAGCCTGCTGGCTTGGTGGGACTCTGGCACCGACGAGTGGATTCTCCTCTCCCCATCCTCGACTCCCCCTTGTCTTCCGAACCGGGGGGAGGCTGCGGGAGAGCTGAACTGAGTTGTGTCGGAGAAGCTTCACACTTCCCAGAGGAACTATTTTGTTCTTTGATTTGATGGGACCCGGAGCAGGTGGTGGGGCCTGAGGAAAGTTGAAGGAGGATGGGAGCTTGAGGGTGGTCCCCAGGGCTTCAGGCTGGCCCAGGAAATTGGGGGTTTCGCTGTAGATGGTGTGTGCCCCCTCCTACCCTCCAGTCCAGGTGAGGAGGGTGGGTGCGCCTCTCCGTGGCTCCGAGCTGGAAGAAGGGACTCCCTCCTGGGCTCTTGAAGGCTTGCTCTCCTCCCTAGGGACAATTACAGGAAGAGAGTCTACCTGGAGAGAGTGGGGGTGGGGGCCAGAGACTTCCCCCGTTTTAAGGGAGAAGTGGTATTTGGAGGGACATGCCAGCTGTTGACCAGCTCTTTCCTTTGCCCAGCCAGGCACCTGGAGGAGCAGGGTGGGCCACTTCTGACTCCCCGCTCCCCTCCAGTAGAGATGGTGGGGAGATTCTGCTGGGAGCCGTCTAACTTTCTGGCTAGGAGATTCGCCTTAAATACTCCTTGTCTGGTGGTTAGGGGTGGCACAGAATAAGCCACGACTCAGCCAGATCAGGCATAGAGGCCCAGCAATTGGTCTGAGGGCATGGGAAAGTGGGTGGGGGCAGACTCCAAGCCTTCCACTAAAGCGCCCTAGGAGATTGATTGTCAGTTACTCTGGATGTTAGCCCAGTGTTAGTGGCTGGTCCCTCTCAGCAGAGCCCGGAGCCACCAGGTCCCCTAGACCCCCACCCCTCATACCCTGCACAACCCTCCCTACTCTCCTGGGGGAGGCAAGCAGGAAGTCAGCTGGTTGCCAGCTCTCCCCACTGCCCCCCCCCCCCCACAATAGCACTGATCAATGAAAACCTGCAGGAATGTATCAGCGTGGAATTACCTGGAACTTCGTTTTTGGGGAGGGAAGATGAAACAAACACAAAGTTTTCTGTGTCAGATATTGGGGCTGGATGAGGGGCAGCTGTATGTTGGGGTGTGTTTTGTTGTTTATTCTGTTTTGTTATTATTTTTTTAATAATGTTTACAATCTGCCTCACTCTGTCTTTTATAAAGATCCCACCTCCAGCAGGCCCCCCTTCCCTAACCCAGGCCTTCCAGGCTGTTCGGAGATGCTTGAAGAACTCAACAAAATACCAATCCAAGTCAAACTTTGCACATATTTATATTTATATTCAGAAAAGAAACATTTCAGTAATTTATAATAAAGAGCACTATTTTTTAATGAAAAACATGATTTGAGTCTTTATTTTCCCCTCCACCCCTTCTCTGCTTTCTCTTTCGCCCACACGCACACTGTGCCTCTGCAGAGAGGGTGCAGGGAGTCTCTCAGAAAGTGGTGGGTCTGCCCCTTATCAGCAGCCCCAAGAAACTCCCCTTGCCTGGTTGTTGGAACTGAAGGCATCCTCACCCTCATCTTCCTCCACCCCTGTGGGTCCCTAACAAGCTAAGGCAAGCAGCTGGACTGACTGTTAAGCAGTACAAGGGGTAATCCCTGCTAGACTGATTCAGATTTGATTAGAACATGCAAAGCAAATTCAAAGGAAGCGCTTCTAAAGGTTTGCCAGGAGCCAGACCTGTGGTCAAAGCTTTTAGAGGCTTCCAAGCTATTAGGTGCTCTTAGAATCGGGGAGATGTTCCCAGAAAGCTCACACAACTGGGGTGGTGACCCCAAAATCAAACCAGAGTTCGTGGGAAGTGGGGGAAGGGCGATCCAGCCGCAGGCAGGTGGGGCCCCTCGCTGGGGACTGGGTGTGCAGGGCTTCCTGGCTTTACAGCTCCACTTTCCCTTCCACATTCCTGGGGGCCCCAACCTGAGTGCTGGATGGGGGGGACCCTCCCAGTCAGCACCCATCTGGTCTATTTTTAGGCAGGCCCACATGCACTTAAAGACTACCTGTTTTAACCCTTCCAACCACCCCCACAGACAGATCTGGCTCAGTAACTATTTGTCCATTATTGGAGGCAGGGACTAGGGTGCAGGGAGGTTAAGCAATCTGCCTAACAACACAACTCTTGGGAAAGTGAGGAAGAGGTAGGACTGAGACCCAAACTCCAAAAAGGAACAACTCCATTACCATCGAGTTCATTCCAACTCAGAGAAACCCTAAAAGCACTGCCATGGGGTCAATTCCAACTCAGGGTGATCTTACAGGACAAAGCAGAACTCCCGGGTAGCCAGCCTTTCTCCTCAGAGCAGCTGGTGGGTTAGTGCCAATGCTTAACACTCCGCACTTCCAGGGTTCTTTTTATAAAAGGAAGCTTCTGTTTTGTTTTCCTTTCCATGCCTGTTCCTTCCCAACCCAACAGCTGGGGGTGAGTGCCATCCACAATTGGGGTCCTGTCTCCACCTCTAGCCTCAGATGCCTGCAACAAAAGCTAGTAAGTAGCTCCAGGAGTCAGCGTCTGAAAGGAAACGCGGAGGGTAAATGGTCATTTTTTCTTTCCCATTTCCTGGACTTCTAGGGAAGGTGACCTATTTGGTTCCAGGTAGAGTTATCTTCTCAGAATAAAAGGGCGGGGGAGGAGGGGTGCATTCTAGGGCTTCCCCCTAGGATGGGATTATGGGAAAACCCTGGGCCTGAGGGCCTGCAGGTTCTCAGCAGAGAATGCCAGGTCAGACAAGCTGGAAGATGGCAGCATTGCCAGCCCATGCCCACTGGCGATCACCATCACCATCCTTGGTACCCAACAGCTATGAAGTTGGATATTCAGTTTTCACAGGAAGAGGGCCTGGTCTAAGGGGAAGCTGCTCCTTACCCTGGAGATATTGGACTTGGTCTTGGGGCAACAAGGAGGCAGGAATATCCTTGCCCCAACTTCCTTCCGAAGTTCTTCTCTCTCTCCATTTTCAGAACAAAACTCTTGGTTTTGCAGCCAAGGGAACTGAGGCCCAGGGAGTTAAGTAAGGTCAAGCAAGGTAACTTATTTCTGGTTCACCAGGAACACGGGATAGAAAATCTTTACTCAACTATTCTGCTCTCTATCAAACTCCTTTTTCTTCATCCCACCTCCAGTTCTCCTATTGGAGAGGAGGACACTCCTCCTCCTAACATCTTAGAGGAGGGCCAGAGAAGGGGTGCCCCTGGCCCCAAGATTTTCTAAGATGACAGTTCCTCGAGGCTAGAGCAAGTTTCCTGACCCCAGGTTCAGCGGGTTTAAGAACACAGCTAGGGGCCCCGGCGACCAGAAAGGGGAGACTGCTGTTCCCAGTCTTGCCCTGCATAGCCCCACTTCTGCGGCCGAAGAGGTTCTCCGGTCTCTCCGGACTGTAGTGTGCAGGCCTCCAGGTCAGTTAGCGCCAGGAACTGGAAACCCGATGTCTGCTCCTGGGGGAGGACGGGTGGGAGGCCCCAGAAGGGGAGCTAGACTGTGTCCGAGCAGTGTGGGTCGGTTTTGGGGGACACGGCCGGCCGGGGTACCAGGCAGCGAGTGGAAAAGAGACCTCAGGTACAATCTGACACCAGACAGATTGCGGAGTGGGACTGGGGGCGGGGAGATCGAGCAAGCACTGGGGCGCAGGTTCCAGGCCAGGGGTGAGGGGGACAGGAACCCCTGTCCGAGCTCCGCCCCGCCCCATCCCGATTCGGCGGCCGCCGGGCGGGCGGGCGCGCAGCGGCGAGGCCGTCCTCTGCCAGGAAGAGTCACTTCCCGGACACCGCGGGAGCCCTGGCGGAGCTATGCGAAGAATGTCCGCGCGGAGCCCGGGGGGCAGCACCTCCCCAGCCAGCCACGCAGAGCTAGCGTACCCGCGAAGGCCCCGCCCCGCCCGGGACCACCACGCCCTTTCCACGCCCCCACCCAGGCCAGCCACGCCCCGCCGCCCGCGCGAGCACGTCGCCATGGCAACAGGATTACAGGCGGAGAGCGCTGTTTATTCTCAGCCCAGTGCCAGGAAATTCGGCCCGGAGGCTGCCAGGCGCACCTCCCTGGGGTGGGGGGCGGGAGAGGGCGGGGAAGGGGTGGGCCGGGCCGCCCGCCCGCCCTGCTGCTGGAAGAGAAGAGAGGCATTCGTCATTTGGGGTCAGTGACTCTTGGAGGGGAGGCGGTTTAGGAAACCCAGACTCGCCTTCCCTAGGGCCCTTCCACCCCAAACATGTGCACCACTACCTCCGGGGCTCCTGCCCTTGGGGCTCCCAGCTTCTTCATTCAGTCATTCATTCGCTCACCCACACATTCATTTATTCACTCACTCATCTGTCCAACCACTCACTAATTCATCTATTCACTCATTCATTCATTCACTTACTGATTCACTCATTTGTTTACTCGTTGCTCACACCTTCTTCACTCATTCATTCACTCATTCATTCATTCAGTCACTCACTCATTCAGTTAGTACTTCACTCACTCATACATTCACTGATTCATTCATTCACGCATTCATTCCACCAATATCTACTGACAACACGTATTTCTAGGGACATCTAGTGTCTAACAAGACCAAGTTCTGCCAGTGAGGGTTGTGTTCAGGGGATGGACAAGACAGCAAAGTGGTAAACATGTAACTAAATACCTACTGTTGTTCCTGCTATAAGAAACTACAAAGCTGCTTCATATCAAACGCGCATGAACCCATTCTCCTCTCAGCTTGGGTGGTCAGCTCAATCTGAAAGTCCAGCAGACCAGGACACTTGGTCCCTTGACCCTCAGGTCAGAAC